TTTTTTTTTACTTGAGTCAAATAGACTTATGTCAACCAGACTTAAAAATACCGAGATCAATAAAAATAGTAGTCAAAAAAATAATGTTAAGATTAAACATACTTGCTGGTCCCCCCCCCACCCCCATAAAAAGTTCCTGGCTACGCCACTGATTTAGATACTAGATTAGATTAGAAATATTTTAGGAAAAGTAATTCGATGGTTATATAAATAATATATTAATTACGTATAAAGTATTTTGAATAATATTGATATAATTTTATTTATAAACACGTTTTGAGAAATTATTGTTGTTTTGTAGTTGGGTAATTGAAAAATTATAGCTAAATATCAAAGAATAACTGTATACCCATCAATATTTGTTTAACGACCAGTCCCACGAGTAGCACAAGTTGATAATACAAAGACTTATAATCAACTAGTATTTACTTCCAGAATATTTTACATTCGATTATGAAGATTAAAATTAGTATTCCTCCCTTCCTCCATCGTTTCATGAAAATCATTCAAAATATTTTTTCATTCGATTAATTTCGAGATCAAGAATTGATTGTTTTTAAAATAAACGAGATATCACTCAAAATAATCTCTCGGTAATAATCGAATTATTATCTCGATTGTATATCTTGATTACGTCCATCAGTACTTTTAATATTTATTTTATTTTGTTATTAACAGGGCTCGGAAGTTCTAGCAAATGCATATTTTTCTTGGTTCACCCTAGAATATCCAAAGATACAAATATGTTTCAGGCTACTCGGATATCATACACAAATTTTAATTTTGTTTTTTTTTGAATATTTACTGGTTTTATTGATATTTTGTTATTTTAGGATTTAAAGTGCTAATTTTTGGTATATTTTCACATAATACAGGAAATAATCACATTTTGTTGATAATTATTGTATTTAATTGGTTATATTTTTAAAAATATTTGAATTATTGGAAATAAATAGACCTCATCAAATATAATTATATGTTTTTACCGGCCATTTGATGTATGAATAGTTAGTGACGTCATTGTTATGCCCTTATTATATAATTGCATTAGATAATCAAATAATCCAGGATAATTTCAAAGGTAAATATATAAAATAATTTAATAAGTACATTTTTACAAGTAATTTAACATTTTTGTTTACAGTTTATAATTAAAACAGTATAAACTGTGTCTATGAACTCAAAAATTTGTAAAATTACATATAATTTTTTTAAGTTAAATGCAAATTTTTTGATTTTTTGTGCTATTTATAGCGCATATTAAGAGCTTTTAAGTGCTAAAAAGTAACATTATTAGTGCTACAATTTCCGAGCTCTGGTTATTATCAGTGTTCAAAGTGGGGGGATACAGAGGGGTGGCATCCCTCTACTTTTGTGTATTTACAACAGTTTTCATCCATTTATTTGTTTTGTCAAGAATAAGACTTGTATTTTAAAATTATATACTTATTATCGTTTTTTTATATTTATATGTAAGAAATTTTTTTTTTTCGGTGAAAATAATTGTTTTTAACATTCAGGACCGGGGGCGCTCGGCTTATCGTGTTGTTTAATATAAGCCGTTTTGAACCCGTTTTATACCCGTGTTTAGAGCCACGGACTAAGTCAATATACCTTATGTGAACTATAAAAAAAAAACAAAATATTTAAGGTACACAAGGTGTGAAGAATATTTTGATGACATCAGGAAATCTGAATTGTAAGGCATCTCTTCACTTATCTTGAGCCATTTCGACCACTGGTTATTAGTCAATGACGAGTAGTTAATAATTGACCTATTTTGTTTTCGTACTCTGCTGTGAACCAATGATTCGTATTCGAATATTGTGATCGATTATATAGAAAAAAATGGGTTTTAAAAACCTTAGAAAAAAATGGAAAAACAAGAAAAATTATTAAAATTGCCTAAAATTAGCTGTTTGTTTTTCTAGTACCACTCCTCGTGTAAATAAAAGTGAAGTAATAATTAAAAGTATTAATACCGAGGTTAATAATTAACCAAGTGTTGAACTTAGTTCTGTAGATAAGGAAAAAAGTGAGGTATTCGCCCCAGAAATTTTATCATGCTGTTTATATAAAGGTACAAATCCAAAGAAATCTTTTGATATTGTTTTTAAAATTATTATTGAAACTTTTTCTAATCTTAAGGATATTGGACATATAAAAAAAAAAGTTATAGATACTAAAACTAAATGGTTCATAATTAAAAATGGGCATAGTAGACCTAAAGCTAAAGGGCCTTTTGCAATGCTCGACTTGGCAAAATTAAAAAAGGGATTCTTTGTTTACTCTTAAGAAAATAGCATCCCCAAGATTTGTTAAGCGTTGTTATTATTATAACGTAATAATAGTAGGGGAACGCTAAAATGTCAGAAAATTAGTTGGGGTACTATATCCCCTTGTATCTCCCTTCAAGCCAGGCACTGAAAAAAAGGCCCTTTTGTTAAAATTATTTTAGTGTTCAAATCTGCTTTAAAAATTTAACGTTTGTGGCTATGTTATTTTTTAATAGTCAGTTTCCCAGAAATATGTACCGCTCTTTTATTTCTTGTATTCTGTCAATTCTTGTTAAATCTGAAAGCGCGGAACGGTCATTTTCCAAACTAAAAATTATTAAGGGATTCTTAAGAAGTAAAATGACGCAAGATCGCGTAAGTGCCCTGACATTAATTTCAATTGAACAAGAAACAGTTTGAGAAGTTGACTGAAGATTTAATCATTAAGTTTGCCGAAGGAAAAACAAGAAAAAATTAATTTTTATTAAACTATTTAAGGGAAAAAATCATATTAAAGCATATTTACAAGTTTAAGGAATATTTAGAGATTATTTTAGGGTTTTTTTAGAGCTTATTAGAATCATATTTTAAGCTTTTAAGAACCTAAAAATTCGTTCTTTATTCATAAGTAATAATATAGTAAACATTCAAAGACCCTTTTATAGTGTAATGAGTACTCATTGACTACACACTCATTTGTAATCTAAATTCTTATTTAAACTAATTTTCTTTAGTCATTTAATGTCAATGATGAATCTAAAATTATATGCATAGAGGACAAATTTTATCAACTCACAATTATAAATTATAAACACTGCTTGGTTTTATATATTTTCCAAGAAATAAACTACACAGTTATATTATTTGCATTTATGTATGGTTGTATAAACTGTAATACTTTCATTACACAAATGAAATAAAATAATATTAAAATTATATATTTTATATAGAGCATTTCAATATCTTAAACGAGTTATAATAAATATTCAAAATAAATATTTGAATACAGAATATCCAATTATATTTTTAAAATATTTTATCAAATAATTTAGTCAGTAAATGTTAAATGTATTAAATATAATTAATATTATATAGCAGGGAGGGAAGGGTTGCTCTAAGTTATTAGAGGGCCAATTTTTAGAAAATTAAATTCTAGTGAGCTAGAGCATAAGAAACCAAAAAAAAAGTCATTCAAAATATAAATTTTAATTAACATTTATATACACGGAAATAATATATTCAACACACACAACAACACGAAACGAATGATACGAAGAAATGAATATAGGTAGTTGAATATTTCGGTACAAACAACTATAGTTGAAAGCTATATGTATACATTTAACGATATTTAATAACAGATAATAATTATTATATCGATAAGGTAGAGTATAGAAGATAAGCTTTAAAATTGTATAATGTAATTTAAAAATATAACACGGGCCAGATAAAAAAGCATCGCGGGCCGGATGCAGTCTGTGGGTCACCAGTTGCCCGCCCCTGTTCTATGGTATTAAATAATTCTCAAATACAAATTATAAGTTATGATAAAATAATTCAATAATTAAATACATAAAAGAAAGGAATTCAATCTGATGTAATAAGTACAATTTGGAAAATTCAAAATAGGTAAAAAATGCAAAAGGGTTACAATTAAAACAAAACAATGTTTTAATTTGTATGGCTTTAATTAAATTAAAAATGAACAATCAGCACCATTTAAATAATAACTTAATAATATGATTATTGTCAATAAAACCCACACCAAAAGTATATTCATAAAAAAATATTTTAAAAGAACCTAATAATGTAAAACAAATACATAATAATTATGTAACTATTATATAATTATTAAATATTTGATAAAAATTTAAACTAATAAAGTATCTAAAAGAGCACAATATATTTTACTTAAAATTAACTATATATCTCATTAATTATAATAACACTAATAATTATCCGCATGATATAAAAATAGTAAAATAATTTACATGCTTTTTGGTCAAAAAATAATAAATTATTTAGATATTTTAATTATTATTGTTCTATTCTTGTCTTTCATAATAACGCCTATGTAATTCATCAATATTAGATAAATACCATGTACCAGGAAATAAATCTTTTTTATTACCAACTGGTACATAAGGTGCTTGATGCAAAGACTTTTGTCTGATTTCTAACACTTCTGTGAATTTTTCTGGTGTTACACGAATACGTTTTTCCAATTTATCAATACATTTCTTTAAATTAGTAATCATATAAGCTAACTCATTGTCTACAATTTTGATAGAGTACATTGATGAAGCCAAACCAGATCCATAGGAAAAAACACCAATTTTTTTCCCAGGTAAGTTATCTAAGGGTATGGAACATAAATAGGAAGCCAATCCACCATACACAGATGGGGTATACATATTACCAACGCGAGACGCTAATAATAATGAAGGTTTGGTCTTATTTTCAAATACACTTCTACTATGCTCCATAAATGCTTTTTCAATATCTCGATCAAAATATGTATCTGCTAAATTTATATTCTTATATTCTTCTAAACCAGGATAATCCATTTCTTTTGAGTTACTATTTAAATAATCATTTAAGTACAATCTGGCTAATGATTTTTGTACCAATTTACAATATGGTGTATGAAATACAAATGAATCAAATTTATTTAGATTAATATTACCATGGCATTTGCTCAAGTAAGATTTATAACACTGATCTAAAGCATTTAAATAACACTGAATAGATAATTTTCCATCGACAACTGGATACTCAGACGTTAGATCAGGTTTGAAAAAATCATATGCATGATTCATATAAGTACCTCGAAGACCTCTTTCTATAACTAATGAAGCATTTGGGCCAATTAACATCGCCACCGCACCAGCTCCTCCAGTTGGACGTGCATTACCTTTTTCGTAAATAGCAATATCAGCTGCAACTACAATGGCTAATCGTCCATCCCAAGCACTAGATTCAATCCAAGATAATGCATTGAATAAAGCTGCTGTTCCTCCATAACAAGCATTTGTTGTATCAATACCTTCAACATGAAAGTTTCCACTGGGTTCAAACAGTTTCATTAAAACTGTTTTCACGCTTTTTGATTTATCTATAATGGTTTCAGTACCAACTTCTAAACGGCCGATATCTGAATAATTAATGTTATTATTATCCACCAGTTGACTAACAGCTGTTAAACACAATGAGTTAATGTCCTCTAAATCTGTACAAAATCCCATTTGTTTTTGTCCCAAGCCAATGGTATATTTTCCTTTGGATACTTGATCATAATGTTCCAAATCAGTTTGATCCACGTACATTGACGGTATGACAAAATGAATAGCACGTATGCCAACATCTTTTGGCCAATGATCCATGATTATAAAAAATTGTTCGCAATCTTAAATTACCTGTTATTTAAAACAAAAAAAAAAAAAAAAAATAACTTTAATAAAATACATCACTATAAACACTGATCACTAATAGAAAAAAAAAACACGTTAAACTTAAGACATTTTATGTACATGTACTGTGAATATAGCTATTGCAGTTAAATTTCAATTCACACATATGTTTTAAAAGAAAACTATAGAGTATTCTTACTATTTAAATTATTCAATACAGAGAATGCCATTGTATATAATGTTCAGAATATTTTCTTTTCAAATGTAAAATACAATTTATTATTTTTAGATATAAGCTTAGAGTAGTAACCGTATATGAATATTTTATAAAACCAGCATTAATAATTATTTTCAATAGGAAAATTTGATCACAATACATTATTACAGTATAATGTCTAGCAAAATTAGCGCCTGGTGCCAAGAATCATTTTTAAGGCTCCCACCCCCTCTATGGAATATATTTATATCCAAAAACTATAAGGATACTACATAAGAATAGGGAGTTCTTTATAAATACTTATTTTGTATTTATTAAATTAATAAAAGAAATAATCAACAACTAAAGAAAAATATAAGAAATTTAACTCAAACTTTATGGGTAGAACAAAACTTGTAAATAATAACCTATCATACTAAAACGGTATAATTTATTTACAAATCGTATTAATTGGGTTGCACAAAAAACAATTTACCTATATATAATTGTCGATGAAAAATAATTAGGTATCTATGCAACTTCTGCATTTATGAATTATGATGTACACTACCATGGATGCCATCTATTAGATGGATTTAAAATAAAATCGTACTATTAGTTCAAGTCGACATTCGTTTTTGTTATTAATGTTATGAAATTAATTATATCAAGTAACAATAATAATAGAGTTTAAATGTTATATTATTGTTATCAACGACGTTGTCATTCAGGGGAAAAATAAATACTAAATACTAAAAATGAACTAGCAACACCACCGATCAAGACAATGTTAATGATTTTGACTACGCCTCGATACCATGGTATTGAATGTATTAAATAGTAAGAATTCAATAAAATGGTTAACTTACAGTAATATTACTTAAATTTTGAAAAAGCTTTTGGCGTCTCAGTGCAATGATCAGATCATGGCACCTGATGCACACGTATCTCTCACACCCCCTAGGCACGGCCCTGCATTATTATAACGCAAATGGTAATAATATTCACTCATTAACTTCAGTTATACATTTATTTCAAATTCAAATAAAAAAAAATATGAATTTATCATAAAATAGTACAAAATTAATCTTTAAGTTAAAAATTCGAATTTATAAGCTTAGCGATATTTAGTGAATATATATTAAACGATTTTCCATGGGCAATAGAGGTTCTTTTTCTAAAAATGTAATAAAAATAATATGTGAATATTTTTCGGTTTCTATTATTGTACTTATTATTAATATTGAAAAAATCAAATTTAATACGTAATCGCCCAACACGCTTTTCTTTCTCGCTCTTAGAAACTTTTAACATTGAATAACTCCGTTTTAATGACAATAAAAATTACTGCAAGAAACATTATTTAGTTAAATAACTGTTGCGGCGAATCCACAACATTTATTTGATTTATATATACAATTGGTGTGTAAATTAAACAATTAATTGCCGAAAAATTAAGATTGACACACCTTTTATTTATGGATATTATAGGAAAAATTCTTTTAAAACAATGAAAAAATAAATTTCTAAAAGGTTTTAAAATTTGATAAAATCTAAAAATTTAAAACTGTTTGAAAACCCAAATAGCATATAAGAATAATTTAAATTTTTTTTATAAAAAATCGATTTCCAAAATAATCTAGAAAATATATCAATGAACTTAAATCATTTTACAGAATTTAAATCCGATCATTCTAAGTAGGCACAATTTTGTCAGGCTTTTCGGTCTAAATCATGAAATAAATATAAATTTCCAACCGCCTTAAATAATATATAATATACTATATATGTAAATATGTATGAATTATATAGTAAAAAAAAAAAAAAAAAAAATTAAGAAAAATAGTTGTTTTTATTAACAGAGAGTAAAAAATAATAGATACAAGTTGATACTAAAAATATACTGCAGAATTTAAGTGTTTACATTTATCTATATTGAGCGTTACATACAAGACAACGAGGTAAGTTTTCATAAAATAAAAATAAAATTCAGTACGAACCATCATAATTTTCATTATGAATTAATAATTGTAATTTACAAATTGTAAATATTTATTAGAAAAAAAAACTTAAAAGATACGTTAGATATTCCAAAATAATTTTTTGTTTGTTATCTATAAAAGAAAAATATATTTTCCATAATTCAAGTTATAATATAAAAACTGTCAAAATATTGAGTAAACTTTTTAATTAACAGTGTTATAAGATATAAATTAATTTTGAGTCATACATGAATACTACAAATATTTTGGTGGTATAATCATCAACGACTTTATTGTTTACATTATTCTCATAACAAGACCGTTTCTGAAATAATAAAACGAGCTCCTGATTGGATATTTATCGGTTGGTTGTGATAACAAGGGCGCTCATAGGAAACTTCTCAAGGGGGGACAACATTTTAATTTATCAATCTATTCATTAATAGGAATGACCCACGGTATAGGAAGGGCCTTACAATTTTACATTATACTATTACATTATATATATCAAACTGGAAGACTATAAAATAATAATTATTTAACTAATTTACCATAAAAGTAATTTATTGAAAATTTTATTTAATTAATAATATAAATTGGACACTAAAAACATTAGTTATATTCAGTAGCAGATTTAAGAGTAAAATATTGGTCGGCAAACTGATACGAGGGGCCTCGATCTAGAGGGCTATAACTGCTAAATTTTAACCTTTATTCATTGACACACTAGGAGAGCTAGGGACAGGGGCTTAAAACTATATAATAAGCTCCTCCAAATGTGTAAAATGTTCATGTGTCTGATAAAAATAAACTCTCATATTATATTTTTTTAGCCCCCAATTTTACTTAGTTCATAGATTGATAGATAAACATTAAATTTTATTTTGAGCCATACGTATTTTAACACGTCTGTCGGGAATTAAATCCAGCTTTGATAACGTATAATATATTTTATATGATATAAATAGGCAATATTTTAAGGCATGAATAAAAAAATGAATAATCTTAGCACAACTAAATTTTAAATAATAAAATTATCATACATTATTTTAATATTTTGAGTACATAATTCATTTCTCTATTTTCATATTTTAATGAATCGACCGCACATTCGCACATTATCACGAGCCGCCACATTATACATACGATTTATATATTGTGTATTATAAAATTATAGAATTATAAAAGTAGCATTGATTAAATATAATTTTAAACTATATAGTATAACATACTGTTAAATATATTTATTCAATGGAACTTGTGTAGAAAAAGGTAGACAAGATAACTCACAACGTAGAAGTAGTCACAACGCAGTACTCAAGTAATCACGTCACCAATGGTTGAAACACCAAACTCAAATGATCGTAAATCGTTATTGTTTGATGCTAGATAATATTTTTAAATACATTTTTGAAGATATAAAATATTATCAATGGTCAGTTTAATCTAAAACTTTAGATAGGTACACCTTAAACAGTAGATAATAGATTGTAGATACCGATTACCAACCCGTTGGATTATTCGCAATCAACCAATGATAATATTAGGTACAATGAAATAATAATATTATCAACCCATTTTATTTTTACATTGGGTATTCCATTAAGAGTCCTATCACTGAATAGCTTCCTTAAGGTACGGTTTCCAAGGCACGACATTTCGCTGTGACAAGTCGTCAACATCTGTTTATACAAAAATGTTATTCATTGGTTTGCAAGACGCGAAAAGTCGCAGCGACCTAACTTTGAGTCTATTACTATTGCTCCGAAATCAGTACCTTGCGACAAGTCGCCGCGATACATCACAATGACTATTGAAACGTTTGTAGATATAATGGCGTCAACACTGATATTCTCGGCGTCGAAAGACGAAATTCTAATTCGCGAAGTCCAGAATAATACACTTCTTTACAATATTGGAGATCCAAATTATAAAAATATTATTCAAAAAGATGACATTTGATCATCATCAATAATTCTCTATCCCGATTTATAAATTATTAATTTATAGGTTTTCTAATGTTTGGCGATGAGGTAATTAGTCGTTGTTGTTGTAAGTCTTCTTCTTCTAATAATAATAAAAGTGTAAGAAGAATATTATTATTATTTAAAATATATCTAGTCGTTGTGATGATATTATATTATACTAAAAATACGTGCGCACTTAAACAAGTTTAAAAACGAACGCTGACGGAATACCAGTTGTGTCGCTGCGACTTGTCGCGTCTTGGAAACCACTCTATTCGAAAAGCGTCGCGACATGTCGTACCTTATAAACCGTAGCTTTACTCACCATCGTTACAGGGCCTCATATTTAAATATAGCCAGGGGTTCCGTCGGCATTTGCTGACTAAACGACCGTTAGATCCACCACTGGTTATATTTATTGAAATATTAATTTACAAATATTATATAAATATTATGGTGGTGTACACACACACACATACATACCGTATTCTGGAAATACACAATATTTTAAGAATTGATAATTATCCATAGAATAGAAATGATAAAGTGTATTGTTATTTATAGCTGATAACCTGATTTTCCAAACTAAATAAATAGATTTTTCATAAACAAATTATAAATTTTCATATATTAAATTAAATTTTTAAATTATATTTAAATAAATATTTTCTGATTATAGTATACACTTTTCTAAGATTTTTTACACTTTCCAGGGGGGGCAAGTCCCTCCCTTGCCCCCCCCCCCCCCATATGGGCGCCCTTGTGTGATAATCATGCGGTATTGAAGGTGGCTTAAACTCGTGTGTGTGCCTCATGAAAACACCTAAATAGCGCGTTCTTTCTTTGGTCGTTATATACGTTTCACTTTTTGTGTAGCGTCTTCTTTAAAAAAAAAGCTAATAAAATCAGAAAAAAATTGAATATTACAGACTTTGGCTGATCTAAATTAAAAATCTAATAACTTCATCGATTAAGAAAAAGACATAGGATTGTTTATCGTAAAATTTGAGAGGAATCCGTAGACGATTCCTACAACAGTATTGCTTCATGGAAACTAAAAAGAGGCCATTCTACCAAATATTTATTGAAAGAATAATTGTGTATACATTTATTAAATGTAATCAACATTAACGTAATATAAAGTATTAATTATCTTATCTGTATAGCTATATAACGTTTTATAAGTATATTAAGAAGAATTCCGTATAAAAATCATCAGAAACGTATATATGTTTGTAAAGATGAAACTCCATTACTATCACCCAAAGATAGCACTAAATTATAATAATTTTTGATGAATTATTCATAGTATGACATGCACGCTGATATAAGTATCAAAATGTTCAGTATATATTTAAATCAGCGAATGATGAAAACCAATATCCGCTGACGATTAATTCAGCTTTTATGTATGTTTCGAAAGCGATGAACGGAAAAATATCGTAACCGTAAGAGACATATAATACATAAAGGTAGAAATCTACCAAATAGAGTCCATAAATAGGAAGTCCTAACACGGAAATTGTAAGTAGGTAAAATTTCTAATTATAAAGAAAATGTTCATGGCTGCTAATGTATAATATGTAATGTAATCATTTTTAGCCATTTTTATGAAAATATTAATTAAGTTATTTAAATAATATCCATTAAATATTACCTAAGGTAAAGTTAGAAAAATAAAGAAAAATAATAATAAAATTTGAAGAATTCGGTAAACCTAAACTAGGTACTAAAAAACAGATTGCATTATTCGCAAAGAAATAGATAGCATTAGAAATTAGGTTAATAATAACTTGCTTTATTATAAAAACATACCACAAAGACATGCATAAGAAAAAATAATTATTTATTATATATATTTATAGATGATTTTTTTTTACATCGTAACTCATAGTAGATTGATTAAGAATCATTTTATAGTAAAACCTCACTATTGATTTAATACATCCAAATATTAGCTATGTAGAATACAAAGCACATAGGAGTACGAGTTTTCTGGTCAATTAAAGTGAATATTTTTACCGGCCTATTAGTATCCTTTACAAATGAAAATAATCAAAAATTTACTACGACTTAAAATAATAAAACTACCCTCAAAAATAATATAATTTCAATCAGATGCAGGACATATTATAAATGACTAGACACTGTATCTAAAAAATTATCATAATTTTAGTATTAAAAGCAATAAATTAATGTCTTTGAAAAACTAAAAAATATTTTAAAACTATAAAAATAATTTTTTTACTAATTTTTAAAAAAATTCTTTAAATATCGTAGATCCACGAGGAATAAAAATGTTCTTAATGAGAACCTAGATAAAGAAATTATTTCATAAAAATATCTATAAATAACATAGAATGGAAATTTAAAGATCTTTATAATTGCTATAATTCAAAATTATAAATCATTTAATGCCTAAATACGACAAAATAAATAAATTGTATAATAAATATTAATTTATATCATATAAAACTACCTATGTAATTAATATTAGTTAAATCGGAATATGTAATGTAAACTTACTTGATAATTAGATTAAACTATTATAAAAATTCAGAAGTTGAATTATACCGGAATAGAAAATTAACTATAGTAAATAAGATGTTCTTGGTTTGAACTTCAGATGCAAAGTGCACAAAAAATGTACCGCCAGAATATATAATTACGATTGTATTCACTGTTTAGTAGGTAGCTATACTGTAATTAAGCTGCGGTTATACCGAAGTCAATTTATATAAACATTAAAATATAGCACAGAACATTATATTCGTATTGTACATTATAATTTAGAATAAATAATGGATAACGCTGCTGACTCATCGATCATTCATTATTCTATGTTAGCTATGTTAAATGTATGTTTCATTAAGAATAAATTATTTAAAAAAATACATTAATCTATATTCTTAGTTTTAATTTTTAAAAACGTGGTTTATTAACAATAGCAAAAATCAATTTTAATAATAATAAAAAAATTATTATACATTACACTAGACATAATTACTTTAGTTTGTTACTCTAAAATAAGATAATTGTAATTAATCAAATATTTTTTTGAAATTATGTACTCATGCAAATAAATACATTAAAAAGTTATTAAGAACTAAGAATTAAAAAATTCCGTGACAAAATATAAGAATTATATTTCAAAATTATAATGAAAATTACAAATTAATGAGCTTATATATTCATATCTTAAAACTGTTAAAACATTTAATTACTTAACTGTACAAAGAAAATATATAAAATGCTTTGCAAATATACGATATAATTTATATTTCGTTAAAATATCGAAATCTACAGAGTATTAAAAATTTGTCGTCCATATTATCTACTAGGTTCAATTTTAAGACAATCATTCATGAAAAATATGCTATAAACTACACGAGACTCAGTCATAATTTAATGTTTCAAAAATGTAATCACAGGAACAAATACATTTTTAAAACTAAACATAAAAAATCATTAAAATATTATGAAGGTATTATAAATTTTGTATTGAATAATGTATAGTAAATTAATAATAAAAACTTTAAAATTAATTTTGCAATAACATAATACAAGATCGAAAATTGAATTTAAAAATAGATATAATAATAATAAAATATTTTAAAATTATTCATAATTATTTTAATAATATAATTTAATTTAAATGTTATTTTATTTTATATTCTGAAAAAATATATGTATTAGGTTTTCTTTTTGTAAAAAGAACAAATTGTTAATGATAAAACTGCATCTTATTCTTATAAAATATTTTAATAAAAAAAATTAAATTAAGAATATTTTTTTATCCAATTCTTACAAAATTTCAGTTTAAAATGGGGCATAATGTAATATTACACAAATATTGTTAGTTATTAAATTATTTTATTATTGAAATGTGTCCTCTGGTTCAATTTTTATTCAGATAAAGATGTATTTAATTTTGATTTCAAGAATTTTAACTTTGATACAAACACATTTAAGTCTTTAATATGTAATAGTATTAATTTACAATTACATAAGATGAAATATTTTATACCTATACACAACACAAATATTAATTAGAATAATTTATTGAATGAGATGAGATTTCATAGTCTTCAAATATTGAAATAAAGCTAACTTAAAAATGGTCAAATCCCTGGTATTGATATATTTGCGCTTCATTTTTCAGATGCAATTTTTTATAGTGAAATTTTTAAGGATATAGGTAATTGTGATTTACTATATTTGTCTATCAGAAATGTATAAATATATTCCTAGTTCTACATATCAAAATATATTAAAAAGATAATTAAAACTAATTTCAATTTTCCATCCTACTTGAGTAACTCTCATATTTAATTTTTTTTATTAATAAACCCAATAAAAATTCTTTTCGTCAAATTATTATATATATATACTCCTAAAAATCCTTTTTAAATAATATATATATATATATATATATATATATATATAATGTGAAGAATTTTAAGGACTTAATTGAAGAATATAAGAAACTCTAATAGATCTTATTGAGGATTCAAATCTGGTTTTTAATAACTAATTACATACTGCATACATAAGATATAGAACATATTTAAATTAATATGTTGACATACTATTTGGCTTATAACCAATTACACAATAACAAAAAATAAAGTTAAATTATGTATAAAACAGACAGATTATTATACAACATATATATTTTATTTTATTTATTAAAAGCAAAAATAATTGAACCTACAACAATGTTATACTAACAATTTAAAGAAACCTGAATCATATTTCTTAAAAATAGGCAATTATGTTTGGGATTATCTAGGGACCAAATGAATAAATCATTTTTCAAAATATCAAGAATTTATTGTACTCATATTTATATAATTCAATTATGTATAATTTAATAGTAAGATATGTACTACTTTACTAACTAATCAATAAATATAAATTAATTTCATTTTTAAATAACCTTTGGTTGTTGATTTTGATAACCCTAAGGTTAATATTTTTTCAAATACAGTGAATATTAACTTCAATAAAATTCAAAGGATCATACATTTTGTAATTATGATTAATATTTTGTTTTTAACCAATATCAAAATTATCTTTCAGAATTTTTGAGGAACTTTAAAAGTTAATTACTATCAGCAATATTTTGCTCATTTAATTTAAAGTGATATTCACTAAATACTTATATAACTTTAAGTCATTTTATTTGTATTAAAATTAAGTTAAAATTATTATTAAAATATTTACATATAATATTGTGGGCATACATCTAGTAGAATTTTATAATTAAAACTATAATTATTTAAATTTTTAATAATATAAATACATTTTTTAATACAAATATTTATTAAACATTATTATTATATTTATGTCTCATCATTATTCATTGGTATAATATTAATAATGTAATTAAAAAAATTTGATAATACTGAATTATTAAGGGCAATTAATATGCTTATCAACATTGATAAGTAAATAAATTATGTTTTCTGTAACAAATTAATAACTTAATTCTAAATTCATATTTAAGTACCAATTATACTTTTTTTTTATATACATAATAAATAGTGCATTAAAGTTATTTCATAACACTTCATATCTTAAATTGCTTTAAATAATTTAAAGTCTATTTAACAGGTACCTGATACCTGTAAATCTCCCTATCACACTAATTACTATAATGCCATAATTATCATTGATTTTATTACAATATTCTAATTCGATACATCAAATTTCTTTGATTGGGACTAGATAAATGAAAGCTATATAGTGGAAATAGTTCATAATTTTAGATCAAGAGTTATTCTGCTATATTATAAATTTGTTATGAAGAATAAACAGCAGGGCCAACCACAGGTTATTTGCCGCTTTAGACAATTATAATGTATGCTTCCCCTTTTTAATAGTTCATTTTTGAGAAGTAGGGAGGGGCACAAAAAATAAAGACAATCATTTTTCAACAATAAACTCATGTTATAATTTTTTTTCATAAAAAACCATTTGACTGACCAGTTTTCTTTACAAATTATGAAAATAATAAAAATAAAAATAAATATCATGAAAATAAAATAAGTTATAATTTAGAAATCAACATTATACAGTATCATATATTAAAAATAAGTATAAAATTATTAATTGCAAAAATAGAACTATAAAATTAAAAATATATAAAAAACAATTTATTTTAGGAACCTTTTTGTGTACAAAATTGATCAATACATTTTTTTAACTCAAGATTTTTCTTCAATTTTTTTAAAATTTATATTAAAACAATATCGCTTAACCATTTTTTAATTCCCAGATGACCTCAAATAGTTTTTAATTAATTTTGACTAGGAAAAGCTCCATTTGCCTTATGCAGCCAATACAGGCAGTCAAAATAGTAAATAATACTAATAAATATAATACAAATAACTACTACACTTCCAATGGAGGATTATTTAGTTTTAATAATTTGAATATTTTATAGATAAATAAACTTAAGTTTTTAATCTGTCTTCTGATAAAATGTAATTTCCACTAAACAAGTCAAAAACTTAAATATTATTTCATCTCTTATTAAAGTAATGTCAACAGTTTTTTAACAGCTTACTCAGCCCATTTTTAAAAATAGCATTTCATGGGATATATGTGACCAGACATAATTTTTTTCATAGCAATGAAAATTTTTTTCAATGTACTCTTTTTTTGCACTCTGTTTAAGCCACCTCTTAACTATATATATAACACGATCTGGGAAAGCAACACCTTTCCCGATCCTTGGAAACATGGACATGTCATTCCTATCCTAAAGCCGAACAAGAACAAATGTCTAGCAGACAGTTACCGACCTATCTGCCTCCTTAACACCATGTGCATACTCATGGAAAAAGTTGTCAATTGCCGTCTCATGTGGTTCCTTGAGAAATTTGATTACTTCACTCCTGTACAGAATGGTTTCCGAAGAAACAGAAGCATCATAAATAACCTTTTAACCATTAAAAATGAAATTGTCACTTCTATAAAAAAACAAGCAAAAACGGGGGATGATCAGCTTCGATATTGTTAAGGTATATGATACGCCGTAGAGACCCAGAATTATTCACAAATTCAACAATATCATTGCAAAAGGAAACATGCTCGATTTCATCATAAATTTTCTCAAGCACCGCACCTTTCAAGTAAAAACCTCCAACTCACTGTCAAACACTTTTCCTCAAGAAAGTGGAGTCCCTCAGGGATCTTCTATTTCCGTAACTCTTTTTCTAATCAACGACATTTCCAAGAAAATTTTACCTCCTAACATTCCTCTGCTATACGCCGATGACTTCAGTTTAATCTGCCGTAGCACAAAAGCTAATAATATTCAATAAATATTTCAAGACTATACGAACAAACTCATATTCTGGTCTAAGATATCTGGTTTTCGTTTCTCTCCTGAGAAAACCAATCTTATAATCTTGAACCAAAATATGACTAGAAACAAAATCTGAATTAAATTCGGAAATCACGTAATTGAAAACCAGTCCCAAGCCAAAATACTAGGTGTTATTTTCGACCACAAAGCGTCATGGATCCCTCACGTCCTCAACTTAAAGAAATTAACTTCTTCAAGACTGAAGATCATAAAAATTCTCGCTCACACTACATGGGGTGCACAATCTCAAGCCCTTATTAAGATACACAAAA